TCAAGGCATTTGAAACACAAACATGCTCAATTCTGAGGACCAGACAATCGCTACTATAACAGTTGTGTATCCAGCATGTATCCAGACCTAGGAAGCAACCAGCACTAACGTCAGAGAAGTTTCACACAGAGACACAGCTTGCTTAGCTAAGATGAATGTTCAAAGCCAAGCAGGGGAATTTCTGTAAACTTTTGTGTCCCCCACCATCAGCCACCCTCTGATTTTTCTACTTCCCACCAATCCCTCTTTACTGCTACTTTTTACCAGAAAACACTTTACATGAAGGCCACATCATCTGTGATAAGGGTTCAAAGTCTAGCATATAATGTCTACCCATATGTGCTAGAATGTTCCCTCCCAAAAAAAAAATGGTTTTTTTTAACCGATTCTGGCTATTTCATACAGACAGAAGCATGCAACATATGTCCTTTTGTGTCTGGCTTCTTTCACGTAGTGTGACGTTTTCAAGGTTCATGCATGTTGTAGCATGTATCAGTACTTCATCCCTTATTATGGCTGAATAATATTCCAGTGTATGGATATACCAAAATTTCTTTGTTCATTCACCTGTTGATGGAAACTTGCGTTATTTCCACATTTGGGGTATTATGATTAGTGCTGCTACCCATAAAGACACAAAGCAAATTGATGGTTACGTAGGCTGGGGGATCAGATGAATGACAAGTGACTGCTTAATGAATATGGGTTTCTTTTGAGGTGATGAAAATGGTTTGGAACTAGATACATGTGTTGGTTACCTTACCTTGTGAATGTACTAAATAAACTGTACATCTTTTAATGGTTAATTTTATGTTATGTGAATTTCACCTCAATTAATTTTTTTTAATTGCAAGGCAAAGCCTCCATTGCCACCTGCCTAAAATAGCGTTCTAAGTGTGGGCTAAACTACAAATAGGAAATGTTAGATATTTTAAAATAGATTGCCTATGACATGTAGGCTATCCTTCATAGCCAAGATCAGAGACTGCTTACTCCGTTAAACTTCTTGGGGAAATATAATTAAAAACAAAATCTTCTCATCCAGAAAACCTCTCCACAAAAGTATTAGAGAAAGAAAACATTTTGCTATTGAATAAGCATTAAACCAGAATGTGATGAACATCAAATTCCATCCACTGAGACCACAGACAGAAGGAAATCCTACCCTTTTATAGCCAAGCAGGTAAAACCCATTACATCCCTGTTCTCAAGACAAATGATAACCAGTCCTCAAGTAAGAGGGCTTGACATCATCACTTGTCACATAGTTCATCTGGTAATTGGGGCAACTTTACCTGGTGATTGGGGCTACCATCTGTGTTCACTAATGGCTTCATATAAAAGAAAAGTACACTTCTTGTAACAGGAGGTAGTTCTGCAGAGAGCCTCCTACCTTCCCACAAGAACTGGGAGACAGGGGTGCTATATTCCTTGGATGTTCACATTCCAAAACACGTTCCAGGTCCTTGAGAAAGAGATTCCTGGGTCATAAACCTGGCCAAAGGCTTGTTTAGGTTTGAAAAGGATTCACTTACATTTCAAAGAGACAGAGAAAGAATTTACAAGGTTTCTAAAGTAATTGCTCTAAGAAAAGAGAGGCGGGGGGGGGGGGTCTCTTCCCTTATTTTCGGTAAAGAGAATTAAGCCTCTTATTTTTCATTTGTATTTGCCCTTATAAGCCTTCTCTGATCTCCTCAGCAGAAAGTAATTACTCCCTCCTCAGAGGTGCCTTTCTGTGGTACTTCCCACTTTCTATCTTGAATTGAAGCAGTTTCAACAGGATCAGTATCTGTTTCCTTTCTGCACCCCTCCTGGTGCCCAGCACACTGCCCAGAGCTAACACTCAGAAAAGGCCCTGGACGACAGGAGAGAGCCTTGTGGCGATGGAAATGTCCTGTATCTTGACTGCATCAGTGTCGATATCCTGGTTGTCATTTTGTCCCTTTGTTCATAAGATGTTACTATTGGAGGTGCTCAGTAAAGGGCATGTGGGATTTCTCTGTCCTCTTCCTTACAGCTGAATCTACAATTACCTCAAAAGTTTCATTTAAAATTTTAAATGTCCTTGAATGAATGAACACATGTGAATTATGAACTGTCAAGTAATAGTTACAGAGTACTATCAAGAGAAATACAGACCAGGCTGAACAGAAGAAAACTCACAGCTGCATTCAGGGGAAGAGTTGAGCAGAATTAAGCGATGCCTTTAGGAAACTATGGGGACTATCAAACAGGATGCTAAAAACTGCTGTGCAGGGCAGGAAGCTATGAGAATGGACTAGGTAAAAAAAAAAAAAAAAAAAAATTAACAAAATTAAAATGTTTAGCAACATGGGTGGACCTAGAGATTATCATACTAAGTGAAGCGAGTCAGAGAGAAAACGACAAATACCATATGCTAGCACTTATATGTGGAATCTAAAATATGACGTAAATGAACCTAGCTACAAAACAGAAACAGACTCACAGACATAGAGAACAGACATGTGGTTGCCAGGGTGGTGAGGTGGGGGAGGGATGGATTGGAAGTTTGGGATTAGCAGAGGCAAACTCTTATATACAGAATGGATAAACAACAAGGTCCTACTGTATAGCACAGGGAACTATTCAATATTCTGTGATAAATCATAATGGAAAAGAATATGAAAAAGAATGTATATATATGTATAACTGAATCAGTTTGCTGTACAGCAAAAATTAACACAACACTGTAAATCAACTATATTTCAATAAAATAAACTTTTAAAAATGTTTAAAGAGAGACAAAAAGAAGACAAAAAGATAAAATCCAAGAAAGAATGAATGCAAGTAAAAGGGATTAAATTGTCTAGAATAAACTAAGATAAGAGGAAATTAACTAAGACTAGACTCTCCAGGACACTTACTAGAAGACAGCAGGGCCAATGTCATCAGGTAGAGGAAGGAGGTTTAGAAAAATCAGTATTTCAATGGCAGGAAGGGAAGCTAAGGGAACACCTGTCAAATTGGTGAAGATGTACTTGGGACCCAACCAAGATCTCTCTTTAGGGACCAGAAAAGAAAGGCCAATATTGTGGCTCAAGTGGGACCAGTGGATGGGTGCACAGTTTTAGCCTAAGAACTACAACTTCAAAGGTTGGGACCTCCAGATGAAAAAGGGGTAGAGAAAAGAAAATTGAACTATTCCTGGATAGTTTTGTTTAGCGCTTATGGTCTGCAATGATAACAATGTAACATGCATTGTATTTGTAATACACTGAAACTGTTTATAATTGATATCCTAAACTGGCCTCACTCTCTGGTAATGGTCATTTTTGGAGCATGAAACATCCATGTGTTGGGCTGCAATGAACAAGGTAGGAAGGGGAGTGCTGTGGAAAATGCCAGAGAAAATAGGACCCAAAAGCCAAATCTTTGGTTAGAGAAGTAGCCCTGGGTTTTACTCTTGAGTTTCAACAGCAAAGAATGAACTCAGTATCTGCCAAGAACACACTGGTGTGTGTACCATGCCTTGATTAATCACCCGACACGAAATGCATGTGCAGGACATATGGAAATGCATGTCAGCTTCGCTCACGCACCTTGAAACATGCTGGAAAATGCTGACAAACACATTCCAACACAGATCTGTCTAATTATATTCTTAATTGATACATGAAACACAAGATTAAACCAGATCGTGTGCAGGCATGTTCCCGTGAGAAAAATCAGCAATATAACAAAAAGAGGACAAACTAGCAAAGTAAAGTCCTGTCACTTACAACAATTTTTTTAAAGTACAAAAAAATACATCTTTATTTGCTGATGAATTATGCATCTACAATCCTATTAAATGGCGTGACTGATTTTAAAAGAAATTCACAATATTTAAGCTGCTAAAGAAATTACACTTAATAAGCAAAATAATACCCAGGCTCTATGAGATTATCCCCTAAATTAAAAGATCAGTTAGACTGATATGTCTGTCTAAAGAAAAGAGATTTGTATTTACAAATGCCTGGAGGAGAAATCCACTTGATAGAAACTTGTGTCACCATCAGTTCTATCTGGTACACTTTTTTTTTTTTTTTTTTGCTACGTTGGATCCTCGTTGCTGCGAGAGGGCTTTCTCTAGTTGTGGCGAGCGGGGGCTACTCTTCGTTGCAGAGCGCCAGCTTCTCTTTGGGGACATCTCTTGTTGCGGAGCACAAGCTCTAGGCGCGCAGGCTTCAGTAGTTGTGTCTCGTGGGTTGCTCCGCTGCATGTAGGATCTTCCCGTACCAGGGCTCTAACCTGTGTCGCCTGCATTGGCAGGAGGATTCTTAACCACTGCGCCACCAGAGAAGTCCCTCTGGTACACTTCTTAGAATAAAACCTGATCACAACATTTATGTGTAAGACAGGCAAAACACTAAATGGATTAAGATTCGGGACCCTCGTATACAACAAAATTAGGTACTTGAATGGGTGCCCAAGTACATACAGGGACTTCCCCACTAGCCCCATGGTTACTGAGCACTTTAAACATGGCTCATCCAAATTGAGATGGGCATAAAAATACACACTGGATTTCAAAGACAGTACCAAAAATAAAGGATGTAAAATATCTCATTAATAATTTATATTGGGGCTTCCCAGGTGGCGCAGTGGTTGAGCGTCCGCCTGCCGATGCAGGGGACACGGGTTCGTGCCCCGGTCTGGGAAGATCCCACATGCCGCGGAGCGGCTGGGCCCGTGAGCCATGTCCGCTGAGCCTGCGCGTCCGGAGCCTGTGCTCCGCAACGGGAGAGGCCACAACAGTGAGAGGTCCGCGTACCGCAAAAATAAATAAATAAATTAATAATAATAATAATAATAATAATTTATATTGAGGGAATTCCCTAGCAGTCCAGTGGTTAGGACTCAGCACTTTCACTGTTGGGGCCCGGGTTCAATCCCCGGTGGGGTAACTAAGATCCCACAAGCTGTGCGGCGTGGCCAAAAAAAAGCACAAATTTATATTTATGACATGATATATCTCAGATATATAAAATATAATATTAAAATTCATTTCACTTGTTTCTATCTTTTGATATGACAACTAGAAAGTTTAAATTACATACGTGGTTTGCATTTGTGGCTTGCATTCTATTTCTATCGAAAGCACTGCTATAGGGTAGAAATACCCGAGAGGCTCGTTTCAGATGCAGATTGCCAGGCCTGTCCTCCGGGGAATCTAGTTCAGCTCTCTGTATTTTAGGCAGAGAACAGCAGGAGCCAGATAAAGCAACAGGAGTTTAATTCTTTCCTGATTCTCCTCCCACTATCAATGCCTGATTCTCTTCCTATTTCTCAGTTGCAATTACCAAAAAAAGAGAATCAGTTTGTCCTAAATAATCATAAGTGATGCTCTTCAGTCAGAGCTTTTGCGTCAGGCTACCTCATAGGTCTCTGACCTACAGGTTGTTTATCCTTAGGTCAAGTGTCCAGCCCAGGCCAATCCACTGTGACCAGTGGGGAGGGTGGAGGAGGCGTGGGTCAAATGAAACAGAGTACAAGAATGACCCGGAAACTCGCCTCTCAGCAGGGGCTCTGGTCTGCCAGCTTTCTTTGGAGGCGACTGTGGGAATGCCCAGCATAGATTGGACGGCCAGTAGTGAGTTAATTCAGAAATTAAAAGAGCATGGTGCACATTCAAAGGCCCTGTGAGCACTAGAGCCAAAGATTGATTATTTCCTGAACTACACTCCAGATACACTTTCAGCCAAGCCACTCTACAAATAACAACAGTGATAGATCTAATCTCAAAAATATTTTGAGTCATATCTAACAACCAGCTTGCCAGGCTAAACAAGGAATTTAGGTGGGGAGAGACATAATGCAGGGGCAGATGGGACAATATTTGGAATACAGCCAAGGAGTCAAAGTCCCAGTCCCAAGGATGCCATAACATCACCATACGTCCTTGGGAAAGATGCCCTAACCCCTCCTGCCTCAGGCTTGTCATCTTTACACGTTACAAAATGACAGGGATTGTGACTACTGAACGGAATGACAGTCGTAAACGTGGTTTTTAAAGTTAGAAGAGCTGCACAAATGTTATATTTACAAGTAGGAGCTATCATTAACTCTGTTTACTCATGAAGGAGTAACCCCACAATACATCTTACCTCAATGAACACATCCTGCTCAGGGACCATCTGATCGTATTTCTTCAACCTTATTAAAACGTTGGAAATGTTAACGGTCAGCTCTCATACTCTCTTAGCGCTTACTTCCAGCCATAGCTTCATCTGTAATGTACCTTCAGGAATTCACCACAATATATCAAAGCCTGCGGTCAGACCAGCAGCCCACCATGAGCCACGCAGCATGTATTTAAGAGAAATACTGTCAGTCAGTCCTGCGGCTGATGACAACTGTCAGCTGAATCTGATGGTAGCTTTTTCCAATAACTGTCAGAATATTCAAGGTTTACAACATATTCTAATGCCCTCCCACAGCATTTCTGTGTAAATTATCCAAATGGTGAGGAAAGCCATAAAAGGAAAGCTTAGTTACCATGTTTTGAGCCCAGATTTATTTCCACGCAATATCTTGGGAAAACAAAATACAATTTTCTTTATGTTATGCCCCATTTCCTTTCCACAAGCTAAATTAACTCCCCCCCCAAACGTGCTCAGTTTTAGAGAACCAATTCAAGAATACTGAGACTGTTTTCATTTTTCTGTTACTTTACAGAGAGCCTGACACTTCTACTAGATTAACAACAATAGGAGAAAAGCGTTTATCAAATATTTGCATAATTGATTAGAAACCCGGGCTATCCGTGGCTTCCGGAAAAAAAAGGAGCTCTGTATCTTTAAGGCTCCATGGAGCTGTCTCTGCGCGCGATGCAGACAGTGCAGGTTCTGCGGCAGAGACTCATCCTATCGATAAGGTTCTGATAGCCAAGGTGGAGGATGGGAAAAGAATGGAGCTGTCCCAGCTACTCAATGAGATCAGGGCAAACTATGAAAAGCTCCTCACCAGAAATCAGATAGAGACCGTGCTCTCAACAAGGATCCAGGTAATGATTTCATACAGACAGGCATCTTCCAGGATAAGGAGACAATCCATGTCTATCCAATTCCTGTCTCGGCCTCTCTGAGGTACAGTATTTCCTTTTCAATGCAGCATATACTGGGGAAGGAATTTAGGTTTTACTGCAAAGTGACTGGGACTACAGGGGGAAAGGCTGTGATTATTCCTGTTAAATAACCATTAAATGAATGTTGATTGATACATTTGATTTTTATATAAATCATGAGGTTACTATCATTAACAAAACACGGAATCAACATACAATAAAATGGTGCACTCTAATCTCTTTTAGACATCCTACAGGAAGGAACATTTCAGATACCCTTCGAAGCTATTATGGAGTTATTTATAGAGATAATATAAATAACATCTTTAAAATGACAAGCTTTATAGTAAGATTTATTAGCTTCCACACTTGGCAAGATAAACCTAAGTAAAATATTTCTAAAAGGTTTCTATCATTTTTTAATGAGTTCTATTTTATACCAGATTGTTATAAATAGAAATCATCTGAGTATGTGAACATGGCATTCAGAAACAATGATATAAATTGGGACAATCAAAATTGCCAAATCGAAAATGACTTTCTACTTCAATTACAGGTTTTTGCTTTTGTACTAAAAGATGAGAAATGTTTATTTCTAATACTAAGCATGCAATATTTAAGTATTTTTTTAAAAGAGAGTCAAGTTAAATAAGAGCTAAATCCTAATTTCATAGACTTACTTTGTTTTAAAATGACAAGCACCTTTAGTAATAAATTAAGGTCTCATCTCTAAACAAATGAATAAACAACTCTTTTAGAAACAAAGATTCAGAAATTCAGGGTTTTTTTTTTTTTTTTGGTTTACCTATCATATCTGAGTACAAGTTCTATTCCAAGCACCCAAACACAGCAAAGAGTTTACTTAAGAACATACCCAAAAGGGAAAAAATATTGCTGGGAAATCATAGGACATTACTGCATGCAATTCATTTTTAGTGACAACATACATTTAACTTCTGGATAACATTTTCGGTCTTCATAAAGAGTTATCAGCATCGTAGATGAAGCAAATTCACTGGGATATTTGATTTAAGTGTTGGAATAGTTCACTCACCTTTTACAAAGAGAAGAAAACAATTAACAGATGGCAATTTCTAAAAATTATAAGCCAAATAAACATTTTATTTTGCAATAATAGAAATACAAGTTATTTAGTTTACAAGTCATTATGCTGAAGTGAATAAAGTGAAAAAGCAAGACTACAGTAAGTTTTGTTTCATCTTCTTAACATAAAACTACTTTAGGGGATGTTTTTTCAAAGAATTTAGAAAATCAACTGGAATAAATTCAAGGAAGCCTGATTACTTATTTATTACAAAATAAACATAAGCTAATTTAGTTATTTACTGCTGTATAACAAACCACTCCAGAACTTGGTGGATTAAAACAATTGTATTGTCTTTCACGATGCTGTGGCTTGACTGGGTTCAGTGGGGGTTATTCTTCTGCTGCACATGACATTGGCTAGGACTTCAGTCATCTTGGGGCAAAACTAGGTTGGGACATCCAAGGTGGCTCACTCCTGTGTCTGGCACCTTGGCAGGGCATTTCTGGAAGGCTGGCTCAGCTGAGACAACTGGGCCTGTTTCTCTCCATCTGGCCTCTCTACATGACCTCTGCAACAGGGTAACCAGATCTCTTACATGTTGGCCCAGAGCTCCCAAAATCATAGGAGTGGAAGTCATCAGGGCTTCCTAAGTCTTAGGCCTAGAACTGGCACTTCAGCTATATTCTACTGGCTAAAACAAGACACAGGTTATCCCAGATTCAATGTGGAAGAGGACCAAACAAGGACATGAATTTGGGGAGGTGTGATTCATGGGGAGCCATCTTCGGAATCTAGCTACCACACAAGCCTAGCTGCCAGTTCCTCACTCAACATCCAAGAGACCAGCATTTTTATGCTCTTCTATTTCCAAAATTCTTGTCATCCTCTTTTGTAGTTGCTCTGATATGTGTTGCTGCTTGGCTTTGCCAACTTAACACTAAGAATAAGTGATACAACAAACCAAAAGAAATGAATGAATTTTGTTGTCTAATACCTCGCGCTAAACTTTATTGACTTTCATTTAATCCAATATTTCCTTTTAAAAAAAATCTATTGGGCTTCCCTGGTGGCGCAGTGGTTGAGAGTCCACCTGCCGATGCAGGGGATGCGGGTTCGTGCCCCGGTCCGGGAAGTGCAGTAGGAGCAATGTATGCAATTGATTGCAGTATTTTGAAGCAAAAATTAGAACTTCTTAATGTATTTATAAAAATGCATTTTAAAATGTAAAAAATTTAATTTGGTGGTACAGTAGATTTTTATTTATTTATTTTCTGTACGCGGGCCTCTCACTGTTGTGGCCTCTCCCGTTGTGGAGCACAGGCTCCGGACAAGCAGGCTCAGCGGCCATGGCTCACGGGCCCAGCCGCTCCGCGGCATGTGGGATCTTCCCAGACCGGGGTAGGAACCCGAGTCCCCTGCATCGGCAGGCGGACTCTCAACCACTGCGCGCCCTAACATGCCTTCTAAGAAAGGTAAATCAACAATGGGTTCTCTTAATACAGAAGTCTATTATAGAATCTCTAATGGCTATGATAACTTAACTCTCTAAATGATTCATAATACACTTTCTAGCAGTATTGTAAATTATCCTGTAAATTATTGTAAAGTATCCTGTCCATATACCCAGTCCTAGAAATGATCGATTTAGGATATATAGCTGTTTATCTGCTTTTATGAAGCAGCCTACAAGAAAATATGGGAGGGTGGGCAGTAGCTAATTTTCTATCTTTCTTCCTTAATGATAACATAAACAATAGAAAGTTAAGAATCAGAGGTCTCAGGACTTCCCTGGCAGTCCAGTGGTTAAGACTTCGCCTTCCAATTCAGTGGGTGTGGGTTCAATCCCTGGTTGGGGAGCTAAGATCTCACATGCCTTGCGGCCAAAAAACCAAAACATAAAACAGAAGCAATATTAACAAATTCAATAAAGACTTAAAAAAAATGGTCCACATCAAAAAATTAAATAAAATAAAAAAGAATCAGAGGTCTCAAACTTAGGTCCTGCAAACTTACTTCTCATTAAATGTATTTTTCTACATTTCATAGACTGTCATGGTAGGAAAAGAATTTTGAGGTTCATTTTACATCCTAGAAAACTGAGGCTGAGAGTGCAATTGACTCGCTCATGAACTTAATTAATTAGTAACGGAGCACCAAGCAGAACACACATTGGTAATTTAAAAATTTAAAGAAAAAACTATTTGATTCCTGTACTATTTTTCTATAACTGCTTTTAAATGTCTCACTTTCAAGAGTGCTTTTGTTGTTGTTGTTGTTGTTATTGTTGTTGTTGGCTTTCTTCTAGTTGGAGGAAGATCTAAGCAAAAAAATGGACAAAGATGAAGAGGCTTTAAAGGCGGCTCAAGCAGAACTCAAGGAAGCCCGACGCCAGTGGCATCACCTGCAAGTGGAAATTGAATCTCTCCATGCTGTGGTGAGAATCATCTCAAAAGCAACTGGCCCATTGAATCCCCAGATGTTATCTGATTAAGAGAGGGAAAGGAATAATGTCCATTACTGGCCAGTGAGAAACTGAAAATCAGACCACTGAATTCCATCCATGGACCTAGTTCAACTACTGCCCTGCCTCCATCATGGCAATAACTATTATCAATTCACTCAAGGTTTATTCACACCTTTAAAAATGAAATAACCCCCGCTTATCACCCTGGGGTTCTCTAATTGTGAGAGTAGGGGAATAGAGTCTTTGTCATTATCCAAAGTCATAACAGTGGGGAGTCTTATCCATACCACTGAGAATTCTAATAGAAAAATATTTAAACACTTTCTGAAAATGCCTTTTATAAGCAGTCTGCTCTGGCTTTGATATTTAATATTCTATATTTTTCAATATTTAAGAAATCAAATAAATTAGGGTGATAATAAACTAATCACACTGCAGATTTTTTTTTGGCCATAAGAATTATCACAGGATTCCTTTGAAATAGTAAGCTCTCTAGCTGTAAATAGAAAATACAACTTTTTAAAATTTGGGTCATACTTAAAGCTGTAAGGAAACACCTCTTGCATAAGGGCTGTACAATTATTGCAACCTTTTTAAGAAAGAAGAGAACTCAATAGAACAAAGACATTGCAAATCAGATTTCAGAAACACAGTTAGTTTCCCTGATTCACTGATGAAGATCTGTACAAAACAGGAAAGGGGCCTTGAAAACTCCCTACATGCCAGTGAACAACATTACCAGACGCAGCTGCAAGACCTAGAGGCAGTGATTGAAGGACTAGAAAAAGAGCTACAGGAAGTAAGGCGCGGCATCGAAAAGCAGCTTCAAGAGCATGAGATGCTCCTCAACACGAAGATGAGGCTAGAACAAGAAATCGCAACTTATCGCCGCCTCCTGGAAAAGGAAGAAATCAGGTACCTAATTCCATACAGTGAATGACCAGAAATACAGAGCCATTTATGTCACTGAGATAGAGAAATTAAATCTAAAACCCATCATCACCAAGGCATGCTCACGGAGTTCCTACCACAAAACAGGATTAGTAGGCACTGCAAAAAATATGTGGGAGAACTATTTCCAGCCTCCCAAAATTATGAACAGACTAGCCAAAGTCAGGGACATTAGCTACAACAAAGAGCACAGCAAGCCTAGAACAAAACGTAAACAATTCTCTATCGCTACAAAAATGACCTTCCTTAACTTTCTCACTTTCCTGGCCATTCACCCCTTTTAGAATTAGTCAGTGCCTTCTATGGACCACCCACAAAGAAAGTTTGAAAAATTCACACATTACCACATTTCCCCTCCCACAAGGGCCCACTCCCAACACACATCAAACACCAAAATAATAATAACCATTATTATAACCATAATAATAATAATAATGTTATTATTATTATTATAGTACAACCACGGAAAGCAATGTTGTTCTGAGTACATGATTTGAAAGATTTCCAGATATCCTGGTAACGAAAGGTATCAAAAGAGGAATTCTTATTAATTCACATAATTTCATAATCTGCAATCACTTATAAGGTCATATGGCTTTCGGCACAGCACAATGTACAATTTTCCATGTTCCCATAAAAAGAAAACCTTTATTCCTGCTTACTTCAGAATTCTGAGTCCTCTATAAAACTGGATGAAACTACTTTCACCTATAATAAATCTCGACATTTACTAAATCTTTGAAAAACATAAATTGAATTAAAAATATGCCACTTACTAGCTAAGTGATGCTGGGAAAGTTACTGAATCTTTCTGTTCCTCAGTTTTCTCATCTATAAAATGGGAATAATATTGCCTACCTCAAAATTGCTGAGGATTAAATGAATTGTTTGTAAAGTGCTTAAAACAGTGCTATGTAAATATATATATAGCTATATACATGTAATTTATTCATTATGAAATAAAATGGTTGTAAATTTTATTTAATGCCTAATCATTCAAGATGTTGATAAAGTGGTCTTTAACATTCCTTTAATACAATTTTTAAAATTTTATCATGCTATATTTAAGATACACAGGTATCTTAAATTTATTTAAGATAAATATACAAAGTATCAAGAAAAATATAATGAACTCCCATGTTTAAGAAGTGAAACATTTACAATGTTATTGAAGTCCCCCCCAATCCCCACCACAGCACCTAAACCACACCCCCACCAATCTCATTCTCTTCCCTCAGTCTAACCTGGCTCCTGGATCTGATGCTTATGTCTCATTAGTCTCATTATATATCCCTAAGCAAAATGTGAAATTGTTTTGCATGTTTTTTAACCTTGATAAAATTAGCTACAATGTATCTTTCTTTCCCCACTCAATGTTATACTTGGGAGATTGTTCCCTACAGATAGAGTATACCCTTAGTTCACTAATTTTCAGTGCTAAGTAGTATTTCCTTTGTATGACTATACTACAATTTATCCATTCTCTTATTTGTGAGCATTTGTTTCAATTACATGCTAATACAATGTTGCTCCTATAATTCTTTCCAATTTCAGATATTATGGTTGCATCCAAGGTGGGAAAAAAGAACAAAAACCTACCACAAGTAGAGTTGGTTTTGTTTTACCTTCAGGTGAGTTTCTGATATAAGTTAACTAACTTAAAAAGTGAAGTGCCTGTTTATAGGGATTATAAATAAATACTCTAAAGTAGCAAAAACAAGCAATATTTGAATAAAGTTTGACATACAAATTGACTGTGAATAGTACTTCAACATTGTAATTTAATATTTCATAAATAATGTTTTCACAGCCATTATAAATGAAATATCTTTTTCAACAAAAGTCCCACAGAAGTATGAGAACGAAAAAGTGGAAACAGTGACCAAACAAGCAATATTAAATGGAAATGTCGTGAAAGAAAGCACTGAAGCTCATGGCACTATTCAGTACGTAAAAAATTTTGACTAACAGTGAACATATGCCAAAAAAATTAACTTCAATTGAGTAATCTCAGCAATCTTTGAACGTTTCCAAACATAATTTTATATATTGTGATTTTTAACCTGACATGAATAAATATACATAAACAAAAACTCAGATGAAGTACTCTATTCTTAATGGACCATTTTTCCAAAAATATAACCAAAACATGAGAATTCCATAGAATCAGTTAGACATTTTATTAATATGATTTTTAAAGAATATAAATAATAAATGCCACAATGTAAATTATAATTTAAAATGTAAATATAAATTACATTTCTTGATTTATTTTTCATATACAATACATATTACATGTTTTTTACTATAGCCATACTTCTTCATATAGAAAGATTTATTTTATCATTTCAGGACAGAGAAAGTGGATGAAGTTATTAAAGAATGGGAAGGTTCCTTCTTCAAAGATAACCCTCGATTAAGGAAAAAATCTGTTTCTCTTCGATTTGATCTTCATTTAGCAGCCACTGATGAAGGGTGTTTACAGACTAAGCAGGATAATCTACCAGATATAGAAGTCAGGCTTATCATGAGAAGATCATGCAGTATCCCCTCTATCAAACCTCCATCAGCAGCTAATTAATCCAAAGACAGTATTTGACTTGATGTGAAAATGACATTAGGTTGGACCAAGGTAGGCCTGCTGACCACCTTCTGTCCCAAAATGTAAGTTACTAAGTATGTATGTTATGACCAATGTATGACTCTTCAGAAAAAAAAAAGGGGGGGGGGACAAAATGTCTCTGAATCTAATTATAGCTGTATTTTTTGGACAGAGGGAGCGTAAACTCAGAAATTTAGTACAGTTTCTATTTTATTTATTCTCCAAATAGTCTTCTTTTTCCCTTGAAATTTTTATCAGAGACTGTAAGCATTAAGATGGTTTAGTTAAGCCTTTGAAATTTCACTCAGTGTCTGAACATTCTAAGGAAAATGGAATAGTCTGTTTAAATATGACTGTACTATGTTAAGAACCACACTGAGTTATTCATCATTATTCCATGACTGGTTATATCTAAAAAGATTTTTCTACTTAAAAAAAGAAAGCAATTATAAATGAACCTTTAATGAGGACTATTCACTTAACCAAATGTTTCCCTTTTGAGATAATAATTTGCACAGGTAGAAAAATAAAAGTTATTTTCTGTAAGATGTTTTGAGCAAACTATAGAACACACCCCAGGGCTAATTTGATGATTAAATTAATCTTCATCTGAAAGTTTTTTGTAATCATTATCTGATTTCCAGAGAGTTAACTTTATTCTAAGAACTTTAAAGTTTGTGTCCTCCCCCACAAAAAAATCAGAAGTCCAGCTGCACAAAAAGAACATGAAAGCTAGTTACTCCAATTACTAGAACAGTTAATCCAACCTCTCACCATCCCAACTTTTCCATCTGTAAAGTTAAATGTGATTAATTTGAGTCTCTGATGCAAGCATTAAAGATACTCTATAAAGTATTATAAATATTTCTTGCGAACATTTATGTGAATTAAGATAACAGTATTGTTCAAACATTTATGTGAATTAAGATAACAGTATTGTTATCTAAGCTAAGAGTATTTGCAGGATTTATGTTTTTAAATTGTTCAAACTCCAATAAATATGGATAGAAAATATATTTGTGAATAAGTCAAGTATTGTTGCAAAGTTTTTTAAACAACCTAATTTGTTTAATACAGGTATATTTAAAGACCTTAAATAATAAATACCTGTTTTAAAACATTAGAAATTTATAGGCTATCAATTTTTTTCTAAGCAGAAAAAAACATTGAGTACAACTCACCATACTTTTTTCCCAGCTAAAGTATCATCTAAGGGCTACAGCTGTTAGCATATTAATACAGCCTTTACAACTCTCCCTCTCTCTCTCTCTTCTTTCTTTCAACCAAAAAAAAAAAAAGTATATTTTAACCAGAAGAAAATTATGTTAAATAATCTTTAACATAATACAGGGAATCACATTTAAATTTTCTTTTGATTACATCATATTTCTTTTAGCCTGGCTTATTCTGTTTAGTGAAAGGGATGATTTTGTTTTGTCAAGGATACAACAGCATGTTAAGTGCTTATTCTTGCATAAGCATCTGACCTAAAATACATCCTACACATAAAAATGTTTTCATTCAATATTAGTTAAATGCTACTAACTTTATTAAAGCTTTGGAAATGCAATCGTATAAGCTATTGTACTAAAGTTACTGTACTAAGTAACAGTATCATAAATAAAGAAATATATCTAGTGTAATCTATACGCAGTGTCGAAAACTTAGTACTGGGCATCATGAATGTAACTGCTTGTTATAGTAATTCCACTATGCAGCTATTGTGTGTATTACATGTACATTTTAAAATACAGTACTTGAATTTATAACAGAGTTTTATTTGCTTTGGGGCATTTTAAATTGGGATATGAATTTACCAAAGTAAATGATACCACTACAATAAAAAAAAAAGTTGAAACATGAACTACAAACCTGCATTGTATTTGAGTTTGATACATGTTTTGAGTTTAATTGTTCCAATATTGTTAGCTCAATTGGGGGATGAAGAAAACTGTAACCAAGGTGCACAAAAGCACAATTTTTATACTTTTCTTAACAACAGAAAAATTAAGAAGAGTATATTCTAATAAATGGTATATTCTAATTAAAAAATAAAAATAATCCCATGATCCTGGGAAAACTATAATAACAGGAGCCACCATTTGCAGAGTGCTCGCTCTACTCCTGGCCCTGTACTCAGCATCTTCGTACACAATCTCTAATTCTTACAACAATCCCACAGATGAATGTTATCCTCACTTGATGGATGAATAGAAATGAATATTCTTCAATCTCTCTGAAATGGTTCAAATGCACCCTTCCATAACAAAATACAAAAGTAAATAATAATTCCAGTTACCAACAATTGCAGGATATCAGCCCTGGGACTGTCAGTAATGACCCATGTAACCAGGAAGGAATCACTTAAATTCCCTAGGCCTCAATTTTCACACCTGAAAATTAAGAGAAAGATGGTGGTTGATCAGAACTCCTATGCTGCCTACCTCACAGAAATGTTTGAAATGATATACATGTGAAAATATCTGGCAAAGCACTACTCAAATATACAGTACTATTTGGATGAAAATGGTCACTGGGAGAGAAGAATTTGTGAGGACAATCATAGCTGACGATGAGTAAGTAATAGTTCAAACACAAGAGGTAAAGAGAATTTTTTAAATTCTTCAATTACTGCCAGAAGAGTTATTCTTTCCCAGTGAGTTATCCAATTTGACCTGTTCTACCATGATAGTTTAAAGTACAAAATGTTCTCCAAAGTAAAAAAAAAAAAAAGTTTAAAATAATTTGAAAGTTTCCAATGGAATCATGTTATGGTACATGGGCCAAAAAATAAACTTCAGTTAAATAATATGTATACACACATTACTCAAATTAGCAACACATGAAAGGAAAGGAAAGGAAAGTCTGTGCACAGGGTAGAATTTAGTTCTATGTTTATAAGTTATGGCCATCATGTACACATAGATTGCCAACATTCATGGGCATACTACAAAGAAACATTTTGAAATAAGGTGTATGTGCAAACCAGTACAAGCCTTTTCCGGTTTCCCTCACCCATTTAGACCCTAGACCAGGATTAGCAAACTTTGTAAAAGCCCACATAGCAATTATTTTAGGTTTTTCGCACCATACAATCCCTGTAGCAACTATACAACTCTGCCCTTATAGCTGAAAGCAGCTGCTACATAAATCATATGTAAATAAGTGGGCATGGCTGTGTCCTAATAAAACTACAAAAACAGAAGGCAGCCCAGTCCTGGCCTGCACCTGCAGTTTGCTGTCACCTGCCCTGGACCCTCAAATAAGGCCTGTGGATGACAGACCATACCCCAGGTTCTCCAGGACCATTCTGTTTTCAAACATTTCATCCTTTTCCACACCATGTGTCAAAGTTCATGTCCCAAATCCCCAGGTATTTTGAAGGTAATGCAGAAGGCTGTAAAAACAAACCATACTTTGTCGAAGTCTACAAAACCTCGTGAATCACTCAGACCTGGAAATCTTCCGGGCTTCAATATTTCACAACAGTTTCTAGTGATAGCAACTGAATAGTCATAACTTCTGCCTTCACAGAAACAGCTGAGAAAACTAGCTTATTTCACCATTTTTCCTAGAGCCAGAATTTTTTTTTTAATATCCAGACTTTATAAGCTATTTGGCTCAGACAGAGTTCTGTTCTCCCTTTCCCTATTTTAAGGGGGAAAAAATCCATTGAAAAAAGCTTCATTAGAACAAACTACAGACAAATTGCATGGTTCAGTGTTTGGTTCAAAATCTTTTTTGAGTCACAGAACTCTTTGGAAATCTGTTAAACTCCAAACCCTCTATCTGGGGGTTAAAAAAAAAAAAGCATCTAAAAATTGTGTACAATTTTAAAGCGTTATATAGGAATAAACCTCCTAGAAGCAATTCGCACAGACTACTAGGTGTCCAAGGACTATGGGTTTTTCCTTGTTCTCTCCCATTTTCTCCTCTTTCTTCCTTCCCACTCATGGTTCTCATTCTACCCCTAATTGTCTCCCTCCCAGCTTCTTCCCACACTACTATAGAAAGAAATCAAAGAGACCTGGGCTTCACTCCCAGCTTAATCACTTACTAGTTTTGACTTCCCTGCTTGGAGCGGGGGAAGAAGTATCTCAAGGAAATATGAGCAGTGTCAGAGAGGAAAGCAGGCCAAGCTCCTGAATCTTGCTGCCAGAAAGAAAACTAAACTACTTGGTCCTAAGACTATCACTGTGGTCTACCATAAGGCGCCTGCAAGGGCTCCCAATGACTTCACAGTTACATGTAGCTGAACAGTCATGTTAATGATGCATACCACGTTTTCCAGGAATAATCACCATTCCAAAAGTCTGTCCTGCAGTTCCCATAAATATCCCTGTCCATGCAAGATCATATGTGCTGATGGTTGCTTGGGGAAAAATCAACAGCAACTCAGTGTAAGTTGAATCCACTCTTCAGTCTTTTTGTTGTGGCCTCTCCCTTTGCAGAGCACAGGCTCCGGACGCGCAGGCTCAGCGGCCATGGCCCACGGGCCCAGCCGCTCCGCGGCATGTGGGATCTTCCCAGACCGGGGCACGAACCCACGTCCCCTGCATCGGCAGGCGGACTCTCAACCATTGCGCCACCAGGGAAGCCCACACTCTTCAGTCTTAATCTCTAGGGCTTTCTCTCTTTTATCTTCCCTATATTCCTCCTTTCTTAATTCTGCAAATCTTTGGAGCACAGAAGGAGCCAAAGGGAAGAAAATGAGATAGCCATTCATTTATTCACTCCACAAATAAGAGCACCTGAATGGGCACTGCTCCAGATGTCAAAAGCCCCCCACTCAAGGAGCTTTCATCCCGATGGGAAGAAAAAGACAATAAGCACATAACAAATAGAGGATGTTAGGTGGTGATAAATACTGTAGAAAAAAACAAAGTACAAACCATGAATGGAGGTTGGGGAATGCGATGCAGTTTTAAATAGGTCAGGAAAAACCTACTGAGAAGGTGCCGACATCTGAGTAGAGACCAGGAGGTGAGAAAGTGTATCAATGTCACTACTCCTCCGAGATCCCCTCCTTTCCTTTACCATCATTTTTGTGCCACTCTGTTCGCACTACAGTGTGCTTTGTTCCTAACACCCGGCACCTGCAGCTTTTCTGCAGAAGACTGCCTAGAGATGACACAACCCAGCACCTGCCCCAGCACCGCACTTGCCCAGACCCCCACCATGAAAGCCAGAGAAAGTAGGTTCTGGGCTTCCCTGCTGAGGCATTTGTGTATCTTACATTAATCTGTATCTCTGATGCATATATATATATATATATATATATATATATATATATATACATGCCTTTTTTTTTTTTTTTTTGCTCCTCTACGTGGCTTGCAGGATCTTAGTTCCCCGACCAGGGATGAACCCGGGCCCCCTGCAGTGGAAGCACGGAGTCCTAACCACTGGACCGCCAGGGAATTCCCTGATGCCTATATATTTTTAAAAAGCAATTTCGTATACATTATCTCAAGCACCACTCAGGCCCCCCATTATGCTTTGATGACCTCCTTTTTAGTCTTTCCCTTTAACATGCTCTTCAACTTCACTAATCTCTAATCATGAGTATAAAAATATTGGAGGTGTAAGAACTGGACAGTGGGTTCAGCTGGACAGCTTTGCTGACTTCTAGAGATGCCCTAGCTCCTGCTGGCACACCCAGGATGATGGCTAATGGCAGCCGGAGAATTCAATCAGTCACCCTAAATGTCAACACTGTTTTCATCAAGTAACTTCAGATCCTTCTCGCTCCACAGTGTCCCACATCGGTCAGGTGTTTATATATCCAAGGAAAAGCTACTATCTAGTAAACGAACGTAGTCTTGATTCAGTGGAAAGAGCCCTGGACTAGACCAGAACCTGCCTCAATACACATTTATTGAGCATCTAACAACGGGTCAAGCCCTTACTGGGCACGGGCGATACGAAGATGACCAATGCAGATGACTGAACCTTTGCTTTAGTGGCTCTCATATTGCATTGAAAATGACAAACAGTCCGATATCAGGTAAAGACCATAATAAAGTTATCAAAGAATCTTGGGAGTTCAGAGGAAGGATTAAAGGTGGGGGGGGGGGGGGAAGGGGAAAGTTCCAGGTGGGCATCACAAACAATTTGAGCTGGATCCGGAAGGACAGATGAGTTTAAGCTGAAAAGTGAAGGACAGTCGTTCCCGGTGGAGAGAACCGAGTGAGCCAAGGCGCGCCGGGACAGAGACCCTTGCCCGATGTTGCAAGAGCACACAACCTGGGGCAAGGAGATTAACATCTCCGGCCCTTGGCTCAGAAACCTGTGGCAGTTACCCTAGCCTCGCGCTTGGGAAAACTGGAAAGGTCCGTGCTGCTTTCGCCAAGGCTCCTGCCCGGCCGCTAAGGCAGGAAGCCCTGGGAGGCGCGCGGGAGGGCAGAAACTGCGAACCGCGCGCTCCGCGCCTGCATCCTCGGCTTACTGAAGTACACACTCCAGGTCCCAGGGAAAGAGTAAAGAAAAAGACCGGAAGGAAAGAAAGAAAAAAAAACACCCTCGGAGGCGGGGACGTGCTCGGCCTGAGTCCGGCCGGAGTGGCGCGCGGGCCTCGCGGCCACAGTGGTTCCGGGGCTAGCTGCCGGCGCGCTTCCCGCTGCCTTCCGGCCCCGCGCGGGGAAGCTGAGGCCGCGCTCCCACCTCCCCTCGGCGCAGCCTCGCACCTCCCGCCGCGTCACCCGTCGCTGCTCCCGCTCCTCAACGGCCGCGGGGTTTGGGCCTACCTAGCGGTCGGGCCACCTCCGCTCTCTCCGCCGTGACGAATCGGCGCCCGGCTGGCAAATTACCCAAATTCGGGGAGTTCTGAGAAACGTATGGGGCCTGAAAAAATCCTTGATTGTACTAAGCACCACCGCGTCCCCACTAGAAGACTTATTTTTCTTGAGAGAGTCGGTTGGAGCCTTGAAAGGAATTAAGAAGAGTGTTGAAAGTGCGAGCGCGGAAGCTCCGGACGCGAGGGGCGGGGCGTGCGCGGGACAAAGGGAAGCGAGGCCGGAGCTGCGGGCGTTTTTTCTGCCCGCGGGTGAGTGTTTCCGACTGGGCTCGACTGGGTCGGGAGGGTGGCGAGGCGTGGGGTCCCGGCTTGGCCCGACCCCGAGTCCCCGGGGGTTGCTGGGGTTCAGGCTTGGCCGCGGCGCCAGAGCCGGGGGCCAGTTGCGGCCTCTGAGGCCTAGCGGAGCGAGGGTGCCATCTGGGGCTCCTCCGGGGCGGCCAGATGTGCCCCTTCCACTAACCCCGCGGAATTGGTCAGAGCACCTCTGCATACTCCTCTTTAGTAGAGTCGCTGGGAAAGTGCATCCTTCACACAAACCTAAAGGAAACGACCTCAGAGGAAGCCCTTGGGGCAAGCCAAGCCCGTGGTCCCTCACCCCCGGAAAGGTGGTTTCCCCTCGGTTCAGGCAGTGACCTGAGGACTCGTGGTGTGGCTCAGAGTGAAGAGCGAAAGCTCGGAAACAGTGTGACCTGGGTTTGAAACCCAACTCTGGCACTTCCTGGCTGTGTGTCTTTAGACAAGTTACTTACCCTCGCCGAGACTCCCTTTTTTCTCTGTAAAATGGGAATAGCAGTACACATCTCGTTGGTCGTTGTGACTGTTAAACCAGATGGTGTGAGTAGTAAGCCTGTCCCGTATAAGGTAGTCAACAGATACTTTAGGATTTTGTGCCAGGCACCGGGCATGCATCCGGTGGTGGACAAATGCGTAAGGTCGCTCTTGGAATTTATAGTATAGCAGAGGCGATCAGGAATTTTAAAGTATTAGCAATAAAGTGTGACATATCAGGGAGCTCGTGACACTTATTGTCAGGGCTGCCCCCAGCAAGGCCTAGTGGATGTTGACAGCCTACCTGAACTTGAGCAGGAAGGAAATCTGCGCCAGACTCTGGTTTCTTGCCTGTTCCTTAAGGAGAGAGGGAGAGACCCAGGTTGGGCCATTGAGAAAATAAACGATTTCGTTCTGCACCAGGCCTCTTATTCATAATGCTCCAGGAATTCCCTTAAAATGCAAAACAGAAGCAAAAAACATCATGTGTGTTTCGCATACTGTTGGATGAAAGGACTCCAATAGTCATAAAAGTTAATTTGCCTTATTTCTAAAAATGAATGTTTGTCTCTTTATATACGCAGTGTGTGATGTATATTGAGGTAAGGAACACGCTCACCTGTGTATGGTCATGTGGTGAGCTAGTAATACTAGGACAAAAGTTAGTAAGAATTGAGCTAGAAAAAAAGAAGAGCTAGGTACAGGGACTACAATCATAAATTAAATGGTCCCTGTTTCTAAGCAGCACACTATATACCCACATTAACAGGTATAATACGATAGCATAGATCTGTGTAAATTGGATAGGAGTACAGATGAGGAAGGAATTAATTCCGCACAGGTCATTTGTCAAGAAAGCTCCATTGAGGAGATATATTTTGAAATGGGCTGAGAAGGGTAATAAGAGTTTTTCAGGTAGACTCTCAAAATTTATTCCCAGCAGTTATAAAGCTGTTTACCACTATAAGAGAATGTAAAGTTCATTGTCACACCAGTTACCTTTTGCACTGCCTCCAGGAATAAAATGGTGCTCCATTTTAGTAGAAGTTGTTATCCTAAAAGGAAGGCCGAGCTGCGGCTGATCAGGGAACTGTCAGTATCTGGCAGGCCTTGTTGAGGTAGGCCCTGACAATACATTACATTCTATTGTCACTGTATTTTTATCAGTCTGATTAAATGTTTACATGGCATCAGCAAAACGTTTTCCATGCAAGAGGTGGCTCAGTATCAAAAACAAAAAAACTTGCAAGTACATGTCTAATTTTACTTTTTAATATCCCCAGTAATTTGTTTTAGTCATTTAATTCTGATCAACCAAATGACCTAAAGAACTAGTAAAATATTAAAAAGGCTGGATTACTAGAAGACAATGTAATTTTACTAAGAAATACCAATTAAATTACCCTATTCTTTAGGAAAACATTCTCTTATGCTTGCTGAGTTTTGATTATTTTTCTTTATTTTTCTTTTTTTTATTTTAGTGTCTCAGATTCATTCTTAAGGAACTGAGAACTTAATCTTCCAAAATGTCAAGTAAGTTTCATTTTTTATATTTATCAATCTATATTAATAAGAGACTAATGCCCTAGCAAATGGGAATTCCAAAATACTCTCATTTTTTTTTTCTTCAAAACAGGACCATTGGTAGTTTTGTTGCATAGTATTATATCTCAGTTGTTTACAAGAAGTTATTTATTTTCTTTCAAACAGAAAGACCATCTTATGCCCCACCTCCCACCCCAGCTCCTGCAACAGTAAGTTTTAATTTTCTTGTTAATGTAATAGCCAAGTCTGGCCTTGATACAAAAACCCAGATGTCTTCCAGTGACAGTCACTCAGTCATCACAGCAACAGGATGAAAAATTCAGCTAAAAAAACAGCACTTCCTACTAAATAAAATAACTCTGCATCTTACCTTGAACCAACCCCAACATTTAAAGAAACATACTACTGAAATGCCAACCTCCTATGCTCAGTTCTTTTTTTAATTGGGAATAAGTGACAAGTTTAACATTTCTTTCTTGTTAATCTCTATTAAGAGTCTTGAAAGTTAATATGAAATGAATGCTCGTTCTGGCATTTATTATTTTTAAGCCTGACCTTCAACTGGTTACATTTTTCTGTCCTTGTCTGTATATAATTTTCATGTTAAATCAAACAATAAAGCTTCCAGTTCTATAATAGCTTATTGTAAATCTTTATTTTCAAGCTGTTCAAGTAAGGATTTCATTATCTATGGGTCAGATCCTGCCATTTCACTTTACTCCATAAGTAATGCTTTATTGGACTGAGAATTGATATGTTTCAAAGTGCCTAAATGATAGTCGTGAACTAATTTTTTTCACCCAGCAAGCTCTGGCCCAGCTTGGTCAGCATGTAAAATAATTGTCCAGTCCACAAAACAGTTTTAACAGTAACCATTCAGGCCTTGCTGAAATGGACTTCTTGTTGTTTTTTTATTTAAAAACAAAAACAAAACACTTAACATTGACCATATCCTACAAAAGAAGTTCTTTAAAGCTGTTAGCCCTCCTTCCATACTCCCTACCCCTAAATTTCTGGCTAGTTTACTAATTAGGTCCTTGTGTAATTTTTGTTTTCTCCACTAGATAAACTAGTTTTATTTACTAACCCTCAGATGTATGTTTTAGTTATGTTTATCAACAATTTATTTTTCCATAGTAAGATGCTTTTAAAAAAGAGATACTGTATCACATCTTCTCAGCTCAATTTATATAACATACAGTTTCTAAAGTTACTTCTGGTAGATCTTAAAGTCCTGTGTTTGGTTTGTCTCTTTTCTTAAATCAAAGAACATTTCTTATGACCATCTCCTTGGCACTCTGCTAATGGCTATACAGGTGGAGTTGAACAATTGAGATTCCTGACCTCAAAGAGCTAACCATGTACTTCATTTTTGGAAACGGTATAATTGTAGTATTTCAGTTTCGATTTTTTTTTTAGTTCCCTTATTTTCTTACACTACTGCCTCATAATGTTGAATAGTGATTATCATTGCTTATGCAACTTTGAAGGTGTCTTTTTGACGCAAATACTGCCTCTGACAGCATATAATATCTTGAAAACAGACTTGATTTTTTGAGATAATAAAAATAGCTCAGAAACTAACCCTATGACTTCTTAAATGTAGAAAGGGATATTTTTACCTTTCTTTAGTCATACTTCTGTACCATTATAATTTCACATTTACACATAAACTACGGAAGACTAGGGGTTAGGACATCCAACAGAATGGATATTAAATGAGTTATCCTCCTTTCTTTTTTTTCCATTTCTTCTGCCACCACCATCACCAGCTCCACCCACCACTACCACCCAAATGTACCACTCCAAGTAATATAAACTTCTTTTGTGCCTTTGATACTTCATCTGTGTTTTGCCTACTTATGTATGCTTGATTTGCGTCTTCTATAACTACATAGGCTAGAAATTGATCAGTAGTTTTCTTCTAAAGAATATCAAATGTATTATCTGCTTGACTGTCTTTCTTTTGGACACTAAGGATGTGTGCAGTGGCATGTTTTAGAAAATTGTGTTTATAATAGCTACAGTTTAGTTGGGATGTGTTAAGTTTATTATACAATTCAGCATTGGTATTGTCAATTGCATGTTAAAATGAAATTACTGTCACTTGTTTTGATTGAGGTTCATTAGGTAAAATACCTTACTTTTGGTCTCTCTTTGCTACATCCTTTTTATGCATCATACCTTGATTCTCATGAACATTGGATGTCATTTTATTAATCACGAAGGGCACTGCTATATAAGAGCCCATTTGTGATCACATCAACACATAATTTACAAAAGCCAAGAATTCTGTTGCTCCAACGAGCAGTTGTGGTTTGAAAGAGCTAGGGCTGTCAGGAAACTAGATGAGAAAAGAAAGTTCAAGTCTGTCTACTAGAAAAGTAGTTCACATTAAAACTAAATGCAGAAATTGTTCATGATTGACCTGTGGAAGATGGATCAAAGAAGAGATGGAAGAGAAAGCCTATAAAAGAATGGGTTAAAAAGATCAGACAGTACCCTCAGAATGAAATCCATGCATTTCTTACAAGTCTTTGTTTTGAAATCATGTATGTGACATCCATTGAATCCCACATATGTTCTTTTCTATTGACAACTTCTGACTTCCTGATTTGAATCTCTTCTTATTTCTCACACTATATAAAATGATTTAAAGCTGTCTTTGAAAGTGATTCATTTCTTGTTTTTGTTTTTGGTAGATAATACATTGGCGGCATTCACATAACTGTCAAATAAATCATGTTTTGTTTTGCATGTAAAGTGTTCTCAGACTCCTAACTTATCACATTTCAAGCTTTCCTATCTCAGACATATATCGCTAAGTTGTTATTTCATACTATTGACCATAAAGTAACCCTGAATGTTTGAGACACTTCAGTGCATTGCTTATCCCGAAAAACAAGCACACATATTCACACTCACATGAACACCACTGGCCCCTGCAAAGAGACAGAAAGAGAGGGAAAAAAAAAAAAAAAACACAGACTGGTTTTCACTGAAAGAAAAAGAACAGTTACAACACATCATTGCTTGTTTAAAATCAGGTTGCTTTTGCATGCCATATGCAGATCATTTTTCATTTCTGTGTTTTCCTCGTTTGAGCTCATTTCTCATTCGTGTTTTTGTCTCATTTGTTTCCATCAGCAAATGCCCAGCACACCAGGGTTTGTGGGATACAATCCATACAGTCATCTCGCCTACAACAACTACAGGCTGGGAGGGAACCCGGGCACCAACAGCCGGGTCACGGTAGGAGAATCAACTATTACAGCATCCAGCAAACAACTGGAATTGACCAGAAATGCCTTCAGAGTTAGGTCCTTTGAATCATCAGCACAGCCATTTAAAAAAAAAAATTTAACCTGGCTTTTAGACTATTTTAAATATTCATTGTACAATCTTACACTGAAAAATGAAAAAATAGTGAGATCTGGATATGTATATAGAAGAAAAGAATTTATTCTGTTTGGTGGTTGGTAGAGATAAAGCCTTGGGCACTTAATGCTAATACTATATGTAGACAAACCTAGAATTTCCTATGGTTAAGATGCCCTTTTTGAGATGAAGAGTATCTTTCATTTAAGGTAATTGGCATTAGGCTCAAGACCTTAGTTTCTTAATAAAGGCTGGGTTTACAGGCCTAGCTGCCCTACCAGTTTGAACTGCTGCACATAATTATTTGTCTTTTGGATTTAACAGTTGACCTAACTGAGATTCATTTCTCTCTAAAAAGATTTTAATGTCACTTCAACGAATTGCAGAACAAAAGTTGAATGAAATTAATTTGAATTATCAGACTATAGATATCTACAGCTAGAAGTGTGTTTATAATCCATAGGATAAAGGATATAATTTCTGAAACTTAGGATGTTTCACTTAAATGATCAGCCTAAGATACCAAAATTGGATGATGTAATTCAGACTTTCTATTTTATTTTATTTATTTATTTGTATTTATTTATTTTTTTAAAGAAAGAATTGGAGAATTCTGTTCAAGCCAAATTTGAGGATTATAAACTGGGAAGAACATGTCAGAAAGCTCTGAGAATTGTTCCTCCCGTTGGAAGGCTTTTTATTTTACAGTCATCTTAAAGTCCTTTTAAGGAAGTTTAGGTACCAAAGAAACAACTGTAAAAATGTTTTACCAAAAATAAATAATAAATCCAAAAGCCAAATACCTACATACATTGGAGTGTGGTATTGGTGAGAATTTATACAACCCAGAATGGCTGTAAACTTTTTAATACCTGGTTTTTGTTTGCTGTATTCATAAGTAATTCAATTATTGTGACTTCCAAAAAGCCCTCTCACCCTGTAGTCAGGCTAGAGCAGAAAGCTTGTACCTATCAAACTGTTTGTCTATCTTGGTAAGCATATTGCTTAGCTTGATAGGTTTCGTTTGTCTAAATTTTTCATTGTTTCTGCATAATTTGTACCTCATAAGCATATCAAGTTTTATGTGCCATGCATATTTCATGGTATCTGAAAAGAATTCTGACAAAGTGTGTGTATGTATGCATTTCACAATGCATACAGTTTTTATGTGCATCGGTACTTGTTTTTCCCTGGCCTGAATGTGTTTCACAAGTGTAACGGGTCACAAAGTTATCAAATGGTAAAGAATATTTTAATTTAAATGAGGAGTAGAATCGATTTTGGACCATTCATGTTAATACAGAAAATTATTCATGGGCAGTAAACAAAAGAATGATTACATTTTAATAGCTCTATACAGTCAGCTCTTGATTATCTATGTTAATGGAAAAGAAATGGTGGTAACTGTAATATTAGAATCATTTGTATTTCAGTTTCTGTAAGCATTTTGTTCTTAACTTGGATGTATCTGTGGGATTCTTTGTTAACAAAGTGAGATCATTCAATGGAGACTTACTAGGAATAGGAAAGTGCAGTTGCTGTCTCGGGGCCTCAGCAAGTTATCTGTTTCTCCCCATTCTTTCTTTCAGGTGTTAGAACCCAGTATTTGGGGGTAGGCACTAGCTTCAGGGTAGATTAGTATGGGAGGGCTGTTGAGCATGGAAACATTGATCTTCTGGTTCTTTATGGTGGTTTTCTTTGTATTATTTGTTCTCTCAACACCAGAATGAAGTGTAATCAAAGTGCTCTGTAGACTTAACTTGAAGAGCCTAGAAAATGTGGAGGCTTTTAGCCTGTGCTAATCCCAGCCCCTTCAACTTCTAGTGACCTCTCAGGTCATTGAATCATTCTCTATGAAAATTAGTTATGCCTAAAGTTTTATACTACTATATATGTATAATTTAAGCTCTGTTAGGACTCAGTAGATCTGATTTTGACCTTTATAAAAGTGTTACTTTAAGATGACCTCACCTATGTGTTTTTTTTGGGGGTGGGGGCCTCCTCTTTGGTATTACTGCCTGCAAATCGCCTTAAGTCATCGATTTGAAGGAATGATTCGGTGACACCCTGTGAATAGCTTCTTGTAGCGTCCACAGAACATCGGGTTTTCCCGATGACTCCAGTACACTCGAATGGTTTTCAGACAATAAACATTTTATATATAGCAAGTTGAAACCTTTTGGTTTCAACATATGGTAGCTATGAGATGGAATTCACTTCTGGTCAGTTCTTCATCAGATGATGATTAACATTCTCAAGTACAGGTGTGAAGACAGATCAAGACCAAATGTTAAAAGTAGCTCATTTCTGTGCTTTAATGGAAATTCCATCCCAGAAGAAAACCTTAGATAAGATCCTACCAGAGAAACAGCTGAAAAATGGGAAGAAACAACAAAAATCTCTGAGTAGCCAGAATTGCACAAAATCATGGGCTTTATTCATAGGAGGTTCCCAGGACCTTACTCTATTGTAAGCACAGTTTTAACAAGCATAATTAGTTTTCTCCAAACTCATTGCCAGTTGGAAAGAGGGACAGTTGCTGCTAGAGGTAGGTTTCCTGATAGCAGCAAGGAAAGAAACCACTAAAAAAGGAGACATGCCCTCCAAAAGCATAACCACCAGGCCATTTAATAAAGGGGCCAGCAGGTTTCATACCTCAAACTAGAAGATTATAGCAAAGCAGTGATTATAATTGTGTTCAGTGCAGACTGCTTCTTTTTTCTTTTTTAAAGAATAATGTTTGAGAAATTGTAGAAAGATATCTGTTTGAGATGGTTAATAAATTAGGGGTGTTTAGTGATATAAACCTTTAATATCCTGAAAACCAGCTAGAATTTAACTATGTTGTTATTGTTTTGGGTTTGGTTTTGCTTTCCTTGTATTTGTAAATTGGTCAGTGTAATGAAAATACCACCTCAACATGTTCCTTTGGGAGAAAAGAAGAGAAATAAGCAAATTCATTGTTATAAAATACAGTTCTTTGAAAAATATCGAAGAGCAAATATTACTGTAATTTGTTTTTAAAGTGTTTTAATTTCACATATTAAAGCATAAACATTTTAGAATTCTTTACCTCTTTTTTAAAAAATTGTTAACAGAGGTCTACCAACTTCAATTATTGGCACAATTCCAACTTTATTTGTAACCTACTTCATGGAATTCTGAAGGTTTGTGTTGGATATAAATTGGAAGTGCTTTCTAATAACTTTATGAAGAATCAGACTTTTATGTGTTACTTGCTCTGAATTCATGACATAGGGTTAGCTTTGTAGAAATCCCCCCCTCCCCCAGAGAACTCCTACAGCCCTGAGACAGATCTCCTAGTGGCTGTTCATACCACCACTGTTGACAGTTTCCATCCCCCATGGCTCACTTCACCCCGTTGCCCACTGCTGGCTAAAAGCAGAGTCTGTCTACATGAGCATCAGTATGAGGTGTGCTAAGAATACGTGGGAGGAGTGGAAAGAAGGGAAATAACTGCTTCAGAGGAGAAATACGTTCTGATAAGTTCATGTGTGAAGAAGCAGAGAGGAAGCAGAGTTAATGGACAAGTATGGAGGGAGGGAGGGAGACGCTCCTCACAGGAAGAAGAAGTATTGTTGGAAAGTGGTGGAAGCAGGTACCAACACACTATTCCCGGAGCCCTTGCATGAAAAATAAGGTTGATTGGGGTCTCAGCCCAGAATGGAGGGGTTTCCCTCCGGTTTTACCACAACAGCAACATCAGGGCAAGGAAACAAAATGGCACCTTAGTTTTCTTGCAAGAATTTGCTGATTCCTGTCTTTTGGTCATTAGAGTGAAGCCAGCTCTTCTTCCCCCGAGCCTGGGAAGGAGGATCAGGATCAGGAGTCTCCCAGAAATTTGGGAGAAACAAATGTGATTCAGCCGTGATTTGATTCTGGGTCCTTGATCAAATGCAGCCATGCGTGTAGAGATGAGAGTAGGTTCAGCAGCAGCGCTCGCTCGTTGGAGATGTGTGGGGTGCCCACTGGGAGCTATCTGTTATCTTGCCTAGATTTGGCTTTTAGAAAGAGCTGATCTCTCCTCTTTCTTTCCCTTTTTTCTGTCTCTCACCCACTTTCTTCTTTACCTTTTTAAAACTATTTTTCAGTCTCCTCGCCTCCTTTTCTTCTGTTTTCCTTTCCCTTTCTTTCTGTGTCTTCCCCACAAAACCAGCGTTTTAAAAAAATTAAATGGAGTTTCTTGATATAAGGTCTCAAAGTAACTTAATCAGGCCCTGTTTCTGCCATTTCTCTGTTCCTGGTAAACTTGTTCACTCCTCCACTGTGATTAGGAATAAAAAAAGGCATGACTTCAGTTCACACTTCCTGATCTCCTTTATAAAACAAGACACTAGATATGGGCATAGAACCTTCAGAAAAGTAAAATCTCTAGTCATAATAAAGGAGCTAAGAAGGGTTTTTCCGTTTTCCATTTTTGAACCTAGGAAATAGGGTTTGCGGTGGTGGCGGTTGTTCATGTGGAGGTGTGTTCCTGAAATGGTGCAAATAGTAAGTAGTCCCCTGTAGGCAGTATGAGGTGTGGTAAGTGCTGAACGGGTTCAGCTTCCGGTGAGGTAATCAAGTGTTGACTGTATGTGTAATGGTAAATTAAGTAAAATAAAAGGGTGCCAGGTAATGTCCTAAACGTGGGACATCTGATATATAACCATATATTTTCGATGTATGAATTATTGTATAATATTTTATTTGTTCTTACAGCCAGGTTGTCAAAGCAGTGGCAATAAACTGCTAAGTAACGTATTAAAAAATTATGTGCCTGAAGTCGTTTTCTCTATTTTCTTCTGATGTGAACATTTCTGAATTTGCAGTGATAGCTATTTTCATTGGAGAAAATATAAGAATCTTGTATCCATGGACGAGTAGAAGAAAGACGCATTAGCATTTTTTAAGGGACTCTCTTTTCAGTTTGCTGGTGAACTTCTTGCAGTTGAGTAATGAATGTATTTAACTCTTTCCTAGGCATCCTCTGGTATTACGATTCCAAAACCCCCAAAGCCACCAGATAAGCCGCTGATGCCCTACATGCGGTACAGCAGAAAGGTAGGTGCTCAGGGGCCAGAAGAGAGTGAGGACTGCCGTTCTTGCTCTTGGCTTTATGTCAGGTTTCAGATTGGCTTAGCCAGCTTTTTTGTGCATAGTCAGAGGAAAAGATACAGAATTGCAGTTTTGAAAGAAATTAGTTCTAAATTCCAGAACTAAAATCCAACAAGAACATGATTAAATAAACAGTTAAAATACTTAAAGCAAAGTTATGTAGCCAGTGTTACTTATGTAGTCTTTTGGAGAATATTTAATGACATAAAAAAAATGTTTAGTGAAAAAAGGAATGCAAGACTACATGTACTAGTATCTTATTTTTATAAAAATAATAGCAAATACACGCTGGTTTGAATTTTAAAAAAGCCTAGAAGACAATGGTTATCTCTAAACAATAAGCTTATGGTAATTTTTATTTTCTTCATACTTCCTTGAATTTTTCCTCTTTTTTTTTTTTTGGTGATGAACCTCCATTACTCTTTTTTTGTTTTTGTTTTTTGTTTTTTTTAACATCTTTATTGGAGTATAATTGCTTTACAGTGTTGTGTTAGTTTCTGCTGTATAACAAAGTGAATCAGCTATATGCATACATATATCCCCATATCCCCTCCCTTTTGCATCTCCCTCCCCCCCTCCCTATCCCACCCCTCTACGTGGTCACAAAGCATCAAGCTGATCTCCCTGTGCTATGCTGCTGCTGCTTCCCACTAGCTATCTGTTTTACATTTGGTAGTGTATATATTCAGTGCTACTCTCTCACTTCGTCCCAGCTTACCCTTACCCTTCCCCAAGTCCATTCTCTATGTGTGCGTCTTTATTCTTCCCCTGCCCCTAGGTTCATGAGAACCTTTTTTTTTAAGATTCCATATATATGTGCTAGCATATGGTATTTGTTTTTCTCTTTCTGACTTACATCACTCTGTATGACAGACTCTAGGTCCATCCACCTCACTACAAATAACTGAGTTTCGTTTCTTTTTATGGCTGAGTAATATTCCATTGTATATATGTGCCACATCTTCTTTATCCATTCATCTGTCGATGGGCACTTAAGTTGCTTCCATGTCCTGGCTGTTGTAAATAGTGCTGCAATGAACATTGTGGTACATGACTCTTTGAATTATGGTTTTCTCAGGGTATATGCCCAGTAGAGGGATTGCTGGGTCATATGGTATGAACCTCCATTACTCTTAAAATAGCAAGTATAACTGGTATCTTTATTAAACACAAGAGCATTTATTGATTTTCACCACTATTTAGAAATTTTAAAATTTTTGGTCAGAATTATTATACATATATTTGACAATATGGTGTATTGTATTATGCAGAGTAACCACATTCCTTCTAAACTCCCGTGAATTTTTAGAAAGACATAAGACTATGTTATTGAGTTAGCTCATCGTAAGTGTCTGCAGTGATTGGAGATATCCGAGATCTGCCTTAAAGTAACCTGACAGAGGACTTGATAATTACTGCAGCAGGCTGAAGAGAACACGGGGATTTGACACTATTGCCTCTGCCTTTGTTGATGATTGAAGGTTTCTATATTAAAAAGTATTTTTAAAGGTCTTTATTTTTAGGCATCAATACTGAAATCTCAACTGTTTGTCCTTTTCAAGGTCTGGGACCAAGTAAAGGCTTCCAACCCTGACCTAAAGTTGTGGGAGATTGGCAAGATTATTGGTGGCATGTGGCGAGATCTCACTGATGAAGAAAAACAAGAATATTTAAACGAATACGAAGCAGAAAAGGTAGAATGGGACTGTAGGGATGGGTACAATAGAAAATTCATGAACACTTGCCTTATCATTTATAAAAGAAATATAAGATCTAATCAGACAACTGAGTCATTGTCTGCCTGGGTCAAGTCACTTAATTTCTCTAAGACTTCAGATCCCTTGTCTGTAAAAAGGAGATCATTATCATGTCTTTTGATATTCAAATGAGGTAATATAAGTATTCATTGTAACCTGCAAAATGTCAATTCTAAAACTGAAAACATTTGACTTTCAGATAGAGTACAATGAATCTATGAAGGCCTATCATAATTCCCCCGCGTACCTTGCTTACATAAATGCAAAAAGTCGTGCAGAAGCTGCTTTAGAGGAAGAAAGTCGACAGAGACAGTCTCGCATGGAGAAAGGAGAACCTTACATGAGCATTCAGCCTGCTGAAGATCCAGATGGTAAAAAAAAAAAAAAAAAAAAAAAAAAAAAAAAAAATTATGGTTTTTCTTAGAATTAAAATATGAGAAATCTCAAGTTTTATTTCCTATTCTAAATGGAAACAAAGCATAATTTAAGTGCCATTTCAATATTTGGAATAATTATTTTGATTAATATTTGTATGTGAACTTCCCAAAGATAAAGAAACACCCTTTTTAGTGTAGAAGATAGCAAAAGCTACCTGTCGTTTATCAAAACCTTTGTACTCAGAATGCATGGAGGGTTTTTTAGTTACAATCAGAATTTTACCTCAACTGCTTTTAAAAAGTTAAATGCCTTCAAGTTATATTCTACTTTCTTATTGGTTCCCTAAATTGGCTGAGTTAAAGGCTCTTAAGGGAGAAAGTTAATGAGTGGGAAGAGGCATTATGAACTTTCTTTTCTAGTTAATTCAGAAATCCAGCTAGAATTTATAAATACAACTCATGATGACACTTAGGAGGGTGCGCACCTACAGACTTTATACACACGCACGCCACAGAGCAGAGCTTCCTAGTTGGCATTCCACGAAGAGTTTGCAGGTGTGCTTTTGTACCTCTGGTTGGTTCTCTGTAGCCATGCAGGGTCTGAAGCTGCAAGGAGCTTCAGAGCTAGCCACCTCCAGCTGTGAGTATACTCATCCACACAGCAAGCATGCTGTACAAATATTTTCTTCGTGTACTGCTGTGATGTGGTAAAGGTTGGAAGCTCTAGCTACAAGCAACAAAAGCATCTAGAAAATAATTTAAGATCCCATTTTAAAGAAGTAGTAGTAACAAAGAAAAGGCTTGTAAGACCTTGAAGAAGAGACCTTTAATAAAGGAAGCAATAATACCACCTAAAGACATGAATAAACTGATATACTTAAAAGGAGAGAAAAGCAAAAATGAGTTTTTAAAAGAAAGGACTGGGATATTGACAAATATTCTCATAAATACAAAATATAATAATAAATATAGAAAACAGAATAGGGAATGGAAACAATATAGCATGTTAAGCAGAATCATCAGTGTTAAAGACACAGTAGTGTAAGCAAACTTTAGTTGCTCAAATTGGATAATTAGTGCAAGAAAATATACAGAACTAAAAAAAATAGAAGATCCAGTCTACAAATAATTGGAAGGATGGGGGTCAGTAATAATTGGAAACAAAGGCTAGCAACATAGAAGACGTAAGTAGAAATCAGTTGAAGTTTTCACAGGTGGAAGGTAACAGCAGGAACACTGAGAAGGACTGAAAGAGCTTCACTTAGGAACAGTCTTCAAAGAGAGTCCTTTTCTCTGTTTCTCAGACTTCTGCCCATTATGTTTTTTAAGTTTAAAATAGGATATTAGAGTTGCTAATAAGAAAGGATGGTAATAGTTAAGGATAAGAATGACTTTAGACCTTGGACCTTATCCCTCAGAACTGAGTAGAAAGAGGAAGACTTGGGAGGTGGAAATGTACATAAAACCAAGAGAAAGGCAGCACATCCACGAGTACAACAGCTGCTCACTTTAACAAAGAAGACCTACAAGGCCTACAAAACATACGTAGATATCCACACAAGACAGTGAAGTCTTTTTTAACTGACATTTTAGAAAGAGAATATTCATGAGATAAATACCTGGTGAATTAGAAAATATAAACCTACCCCCCCCTCCAAAAAAGAAAAAAAATCAGACAACTAAAGTGCAAAGAAAGACAGGCCCAGATTTTTAAGACTTTATTTCCCCTACCAGTACAGTGGTCAACACTGGGGACATATACATGAAAGAAGAAAAAGAAAGGTAACCTAGATGGATAACCTAGCACAAATGTATATAGTCTTAAGTGTGAATATGAAAAACTCTCCCTTAAGAAGTGAAAAGAGGACTTCCCTGGTGGCACAGTGGTTGAGAGTCTGCCTGCTAATGCAGGGGACACGGGTTCGAGCCCTGGTCTGGGAGGATCCCACATGCCACGGAGTGGCTGGGCCCGTGAGCCACAGCTACTGAGCCTGCGCATCTGGAGCCTGTGCTCCGCAACAAGAGAGGCCGCAATAGTGAGAAGCCCGCACACCATGATGAAGAGTGGCCCCTGCTTGCCACAACTAGAGAAAGCCCTCGCACAGAAACGAAGACCCGGCACAGCAAAAATAAATAAATAAATAAACTCCTACCCCCAACATCTTCTTTAAAAAAAAAAAAGAAGTAAAAAGGTCACAGTTTTTTTTATTCCAGTAATTTTAATTTCAGAAGTGTATATCCTGAAGAAATTACTTGAAACAAAAAGCAATTTGCACAACAGTTCGTAGCGGTGGTGTTTCTGGTAATAAGAGTTTTAGGAACTACTTAAGCACCCAAATTAAGGGACGTGCCAAACTGACATAGCAGCGCAATTTGACCCTTTGTAGCAGTTTCCTAAACTGTGGTCCCCCACCTCTGACGGCACACTAAGATGGTTAGGTGGTTCAGAGAGGAACTTTTGTTTTAATGTGTATTGCTTAAGAGGAAGCTCTTTTTTTTTTTTAAGTTGATTTAAATAAAACTATTAAGTAAATAATAGCACAGGTTGTTAGCAGATACGTCAAAAACTGGTAGTGATAGAGCAAAGGTAATAGCTATTAAGAATAAGCTTGTAAAGCAGATCCATACTATATGTATATGCACTTGAGTGGATGAAAACAGCATGTAATATACCTTCATACACTGACAACAAATGTATATGTGTGTAAATTGATAAAAATTAAAAGTGAAATTTAGAATTAAACGTTTTTAAGGCTTTAGTGGTATTTTAATCTTATAAAATATATATGCCCATCTGGGAAACTGAATATTGCTAGAGATAATGTTTTCTCTGCAGTGGGCATTTTCCTTACTTTAAAGTGCTACAGTGACAAAGACACCACCCAGTTCCTGTGTATCATCAGTTGTAAAAGCCTTAAATTACTACCCCAAAAGTGAGACATTTGGCAAAATCTGTTTTGCTGTCAGTGCAGCCTTCACGTTGATTTCCAGGCCAGAGACACATGGTTGTATTTCATTTGCGTTTCAGCCACATCTTCCCAGATGCACATCATAACTTAAAGATTTATTTTAGATTTTGTTAGACCAGCGAGGGCCGTGGCTCCTTGGCAACTAAGTGTGAACGCTGTTGCGCTCTCCTGATGATGGTAGTTGGTGACCTAATTTCCAGATCCTTTTGTTTATTCCAGATTATGATGATGGCTTTTCAATGAAGCACACAGCTACCGCCCGTTTCCAGAGAAATCACCGCCTCATCAGTGAAATCCTTAGTGAGAGTGTGGTGCCAGACGTTCGGTCTGTTGTCACAACAGCTAGAATGCAGGTCCTCAAACGACAGGTCCAGTCCTTAATGGTTCATCAGGTAGAGTCACAAAGCATTTTATTATGCCCCAGGTGCCAGGTGACCTGATCCTATACCATGCATCAGTGTGCCTGTTAAATATTTATGTTCAGTCTGACCTGTTCCTGATTCAGGGAAGAGGCTGGAGGGAGTAGACCTTTCCCAGAGATTTAATAAGTTTGTCATTAAACCTGTAACGTAGAGCCTTTTGACAGAAAGCATACCCATTAAGAATTTTGAGACATCCTGTCAGCTCTTACTGATGTACTAAATATTTCTTTTCCGAAAAATCGCTGAGGCCTGAAACAGTATTCTCCAACATATACTTATTAATCAGTCGTTCCCTCTATGCTGCATTTTACATTTTAAAAATCTTAGCTAGCTACATTATGTAATAAATAAATTAAAAATTCAAAACATTTATCACACTATGAGAACGTGTGGACCATTAAAAAAAATGAGACATTTTCTGTGTTTGACGTTTGCTTTAGAGAAAATAATTCAGTAGTAACAAAACCTGACCTTATGTTTTACAGCGAAAACTAGAAGCTGAACTTCTTCAAATAGAGGAGCGACACCAAGAAAAGAAGAGGAAATTCCTGGAAAGCACAGATTCATTTAACAATGAACTTAAAAGGGTATAAATTTAATGTGTTAACTATACTTTTTTCACTGTGTCTGTTACTTTTTTTTTCCTCTTTCTTTTTTCCAAAATAGTGATTTCATGGAACGTTGTTCACTTTGAAACAGGGTTAACTTTGCTATAACTGGCAAGGTCTTTGCTTTATGAAATAATTTCCATTTTCTGGTAGAGTTGCAATAGGTTTGAAATATCATATAGTACACACATATGTACTAGGCCTTAGACCCTAGAACCCTCTGAGGTTTTAATTTAAACTCTCATGCAGTTGTGAATTATTTTCATTTCATTGCAGTTTATTCATCAAATGTCTCCATTAGCTGTAGTTTACAGTTTGCACTTTGTATGAAAACAAGTAAATCTAGTGTTTGGCCGCCTGAAATATAAAATGGAAGCTTTGAGTATAATCCAGAACTTTCAGCATTGTCTCACCAGCTGTTCTGTAATACTTGATGTTATGTGGCGTGCTAGGGCAACTTTCCTGTAGACCCAAGGGCTTCAGAGAGGACGTGGAACCATGTTTTTTTCTGCCATATATATGTATATAGTTCTTAGCCAAGAAAACCCACTTTTAAAACAATTTCTCTGGTTCAGAGATTGTAAGAAAAGAACATTACTAAGAGAGTTTTTTGGGTTCTGTTTTCTGACTGCTAGTTGTGTGGTTTGAAAGTAGAAGTGGATATGGAAAAAATTGCAGCTGAAATTGCACAGGCCGAGGAACAGGCTCGCAAAAGGCAGGAGGAAAGGGAGAAAGAGGCAGCAGAGCAAGCTGAGCGCAGCCAGAGCAGTATTGTTCCTGAGGAGGAGCCAGCAGCTAATAAGACCGAAGAAAAGAAAGAAGACGAGAGCATTCCGATGGAGACAGGTAACCTTTCAGTTGATACTGAAGTAAATGTCGAGGGTTTTTACAGCTGTCTTTAGTTCTGCTTTTCCTTTCTCAGTGCTTTTCAGAAGTCACTCTGTTGATCTTGCCTCTTGAATTATTCTCCATATACTACCCATTTCTTTCAAAATCTTAATCTCTTACAGTAGAGTCCACTAAAAATGTTGGTATTGGTACAAAACAGCAGTGGTGTGTTGTCTTTAGTCTTGCTGTGTGAGGTCTTGGTTGTTTGCCCAGATTGAGTCATGTCATTTCCTGGGAATATAAAGTATAATGGTTTAATGGTTAAGGATGCTGGCCCGGGAGTCAGACAGATCTGGGTCTAACACTGCTTCACAATTTGCTAGCGCTGTGACTTTGGGTAAGTTACTTAATATCAGTTTCCTCATTTGCAAGTATTCTAGCTCCTGCCTCTGAGAGTGAGTTCCCAAGGATAAATGTACATAAAATCATCATTACTGCACTTGACATGATATTGGCACTCAGTATTTTAACGTTTATTGCTAAAATTGTTTAAACAAGATGTGGTCATTGCTCTTAAGATCAGTGTCGTCTCTGGTGTCCTAGAACGGAGTTAGGCAAATAAAACCTGCAGGCCAAATCCTGCCTGCCACCTGCTTTTGTAAATAAAGTTTTGTTGGAACCGTTTATTTACGTATTGTTTGTGGCTGCTTTGGGGCTACAACAGTATAGTTGAGTAGTTGCAACTGAGACTGCCTGGCCCACAAAACCTGAAATATTTACTATCTAGCCTTTGTAGAAAGCATTTGTTGACCCCATCCTGGAACAATTCATACTTCTGTTCTACTGATTTTCCTGATTAAAAGCATTCCTCAAGGCAAACAATAACACAGCTTACATGAAGTACTGATTAAATCGATTATTGCTTGAAATTTTGAGATCACTCTACTTTCTGGCACTGTTTTGACCCTGCGCAGTGCACTGTGTAATAAACAGAACTGAGCTGAAAGTATGGGAGACACAATCAAAGGCTCCCTGGACCATCATTACAAGAAGTGAGAGGGACCATAGTCATACTTGGTGCTCAACCGACAACTTCTGATTTGACATCTGGAAAACATTAAGTAGAATATAGTATCTTTACCAGATATTTCTACAGAGTGATTCAGCAGATTAACATTTCAGATAGTCAGATTTTAAGTTTTATTATCTGAACCTTTCTCTGTTTTGTGTGAACATGTTTTTTATCTTAACAGATTTGGAGCGTGAACACATTTTGTGGTTAAAACAAGAGCTTGAGAATTAGAGCATGGTTCTTTGGCTCATTTTGCAGCTAGAATACTCAGCCTTGCCTCTGTTTTGTCATCTATGAATAGAGCATGCCTAGGTCTTTACTCAGATTTCATCCTTCTAGCTGAAGAAAAAGAACTGAAGAAGATTGTTCTGAAGACTATTAGAGCAATAACAGAAAACAGCCCAGCGTGACTTGTAACAAAGTACTTTAAATATCAGCCTTATACCATTTCCATACCTGCTTTCTCACTCATTAAATCCAAGCACTTCACAAGAGCACTGTCCAATAGAAATGAAATATAAGTCACTGTGTAATTATAAATTTTCTACTACTGACATTTTTTTAATGAAATCTTTTTTTTTTGCGGTACGCGGGCCTCTCACTGTTGTGGCCTCTCCCGTTGCGGAGCACAGGCTCCGGACGCGCAGGCCCAGCGGCCATGGCTCACGGGCCCAGCCACTCCACGGCACGTGGGATCTTCCCGAACCGGGGCACGAACCTGTGTCCCCTGCATCGGCAGGCGGACTCTCAACCACTACGCCACCAGGGAAGCCCAATGAAATCTTTTAAGTGAAATTAATTTTAATAAGTCTTCAAAATCCGGTGTGTATTTTTAGACTTAGAGCACATCAAAATTTGGAAGCTAAATTTTCAGCAGAAATACTTGATCTGTATTTAGATTTCAAAATTTACAGTTAAAAAGTAGATTGTTTCCAAATCCCAAATTGTTCTAAACATGCTAAAAGTTCTTTCCTCGGTCACACTTGCTCATATCAAGTGCTTAGTAGCCATATGTGGTGAGTGGCTGCCTTATCATCGGATGCTGCAGCTCTGGACTGTCAGCATAATTAGAAGAGGGAATTTCTGTATTGGAACTAACAGTGACAAATGTGTGATTACAGAGGAGACACACCTTGAAGAAACGACGGAAAGCCAACAGAATGGTGAAGAAGGCACGTCTACTCCTGAGGACAAGGAGAGCGGGCAGGAGGGGGTGGACAGTCTGGCAGAGGAAGGGACCAGTGATAGTAACACTGGCTCAGAGAGCAACAGTGCAACTGTGGAGGAAGCACCAACAGACCCCGTACCAGAAGACGGGAAAAAAGAATAAATGTTGCCTTGTTTTATGTGTTCTAAATACTTTTTTAAATGAAAAAATGTTTTTCGAGTTTTAATGGTGTTATGTGGTTTGTGTATTAATTTTTATCTTGTCCATATCATACCACCAAAGGCTTTTGGACCATTTAGCATCATGAGCTGAATGGCACAGTCACCTTTCTTAAGCGGGAAGAAGATGATTCTTTTCTTTGGATCTTGTTTCTAGCCCTCAACTGTTGAAAGCCGCAGAATTTAAATTAATTGAGAAAATGCCCACCTCTTTTAGAGAAGTATCCTTTGATGCTGCAGAATCTACTCTTACAAATGCCTTCCTACAGCTCACTTGGGTGCTTCCCAAAGCCATAGCTTTAAACCTTCCCAGTGCCCATCAACAGCTTCCTGAAGGGCCCCTTTCCTGTTTGCTTCCACAGAGAGTAGCTTCTTGAAAACATAGTTGTGTGAGTTCACTTACCCTTTTTTTATTTTGAATCAATGTCAGATACCAAGAGTTGTGTTAAGGTGTTTTGTGTACCTACAGCCAACACTTGGATTGTATTGATCCAGAAATAGTCTTCATAGTTACTGGCTTATGAAATAGTCATTAAAGTGAACATGACACGTATACATTTATCTATACTGCCTTTTGTTATAATTAATATTGGATATGTTCTGGTGAATTCATCCCTATTGTACAGCGGGGGAAAATTACTTTTTTACCAAGTTTTCCAAAGACAGAATAGATCACAAAGCTGAAGGAATTGAATATTCTTGCAATGGAGGAAGTAACTTCAAAATGATTAGCCCATTCTAGAAGAAAAACAGCTGGGAATTAAGTTCATCCACTGGAAATTGTTTTACAATAATCAAAACATTTAAAACCTCAAGGCTCAGGATCCCATAGATCAGAGCCTACCTTTTTGATAAACTCTTAGTAAAGTCTTAGAGACCAGAAGCAAGATAGTTTGTGACACATGCATTCCAAAAACTAGAATAGATTTTTACTGAATAGTGGTATAACTGGTGGTATATGTTTCTTAAAGGTCCAAATGTAATAAAAAAAAATGGAAAAAAGAGTCTCAGTGTTTTTAATGCACTAAATATGTTTATGCAACACAAGCTTGTAACTTCATTATTGTAATGTAGTGACAGTAGGGAGTGGCCTCTCACAACTGTTATGAATTTGCCTCTTGAGATAAGGCCCCGTCTCACCCAACTATGTGAACTGCTGTAAGTAGTAAGTTCATATGTACAAGACACTTGTGAAAATTAGTTTCCTCATATTATAGTCATGTCACATACAGTCTTTGATTCCAAAAGTAAAGTGATAAGTTTCTACATACACATGAGAAACTTTTTTTACATTGAAAAAAAATATATGGCCAAGTGAATAAAGGTAAGCCCTGTGCTTACATGTAGATAACTTCTCTATATGGACAAAACTTAATTTATAGTGAATTCACTGCTACTGAGCTCACGGCACGCAGTGACTGTGACTCCACTCTGTTGGGCCTCCTGAGAGAGAGGAGGAAAGGAGACAAAATTGGGCGGAAACACCCCTTGATACCTGTTTTTCTTAACACATGGAATGTTTCTTTCTGAATCAAAAACTAATTTATCAGTTCCGGGTGTAGGGCGTCATAGGGCTAAGAACTTCAGCCAGCTCATCCCCAACAAACTGGATATCCTTTTCAGTAACTTGTCAAAACTGGGTAGAGCAGTTGTTAATATGGGTGGAAAACAGTACCAGATCAAGATGTCACATTATTACCCTGGTACTGAAGTCTCTTAAGAGGATGGAAGTGGTTCTTTTGCTGAGAAGTGGTTCTTTTGCTGAGCTGGAGATGGCACAGGGAAAACAAGGATATCTAGACCAAGCCTGCCCGTACGATGCTACAGCAACGGATCGAAACTTAAGATGGGATTTGGCAGCCTTTAACTCAGGGTGGGAAAAGTGAATTAAAATACCTTCTTGTCAGAGTGATAACAGAAACCACCAATGTTTGAGTTGTTCCCTAGTTTCTTTGAGAATGTGGCATATAGTCAAGGTCTTTGTTTTCCACATCCCCTGTAGGCATTGGGCGTGTCACTTAAACTCTCTGAGCCTGTTTCAACCGTAAAATAGATTGAACTACTTTCAGTCCCCTTACTTCTCCACATAGCCATGACTTTTAATGCATTTGTTTTGAGTATGAATGCGTAAAGTTTGAGGGCTTACATTTTTATTAATTTTTAACAACGAACGGAAGAGAGGGGAATCCCCGACAGTCCCCCAGTTTTCTTACAGAATTTTCAAGTGTCATATCTTTCCCCATTTGTCAACAAGCATGTCTTTTATGTGGCTCGCCTACAGTACATAAAAATTTTGTATTTGTAAAGCAGAGCTTTCGGGAAAAGTCAGAGCAAGCTCATTTTAACATGAGAGGATGAACGTCCTATGGAAAGGATGTGATACTCGATTCACTATATTTGAAAGAGAATCCGGGGTTTAAATCCCTCCAAATTTTTAGTTTTGATGCTTCCTACTTAGAGACTAGTTTGGGGTTTTAAACAGTTGGTGCTGACAGTGTGAAACTCCTGTTGCCTGCAGTTAAATTGAAGCTGTGTTTTCTCACGTGAACAGGCAATGAAGCTGGGATTATACTGCGTTAAATCCTCCCTTCAGAAATCATTGCCCTCCAACCCCCAAGCACTACCACACACGGTCTCCCCGCCTGGTTTCAACAAGGGCAGGAGTTTATCCGGCTGTTTTGCACTGCTAGGCAAACCTTGCTGGAAGAGCAACAACTGCCTTCTTAATGATTCGCACATTAGAGGGCTTAGCGTCTTTACAAATGAAACATCCACTGGGCAATATCGAGCTGAAAGGAACGCGGAGGCTTTTTAGAAGAAATCGTACTGGATTATCATCTGGCTTGTGGTGATAATGTTTCTTTGATCAATATGGTAGGGGAAATTCTAGGTTTAGTCGAAAATGTCTACAAGTCTTAGTAATCATAGAACTGTTTCTAAACATCTTAGTAGTAGGTTAACTATATGAAATTGCCTATGTAAGTTTTTTATCTACAAGATGACAATTTCACCTGGTTCAACCTAATAATTCTGCATTTTATTATAGTCCAAGTTATAAGCTCTTAATAGCAGTTTTCTGAGTGTGAAATGATGGAACTTTGGACTTTGCAGATTGGTCGATACACTTCTCTAAAAATTACTGATTATTGTTAAACAAAACCCTGATTAACATGCAAATCCTAAACTATCAAGTATTTAACAGCCTGATTTTAAAAATATATCCCAGTAAACAGTTAAGATAGCTGGCTTATGTTCACATGTTTTGCCATTTAGCACCAAAAATATATAATTGTTTTGCATGTATTCAAGAGTGTTATATGGGGGGGTGGGAGGGAAGTTCCCAAAAGATTTGATTGCCTTTTTTTTTTTTTGCGGTACGCGGGCCTCTGTGGAGCACAGGCTCCGGACACGCAGGCTCAGCGGCCATGGCTCACGGGCCCAGCCGCTCCGCAGCATGTGGGATCTTCCCGGACCGGGGCACGAACCCGTGTCCCCTGCATCGGCAGGCGGACTCAACCACTGCGCCACCAGGGAAGCCCTGATTGCTTTTTACATAGAACTGAGACCGTAACTGCAGATAATGGCCCCCTATAATGAGCCATTTGAAAGGCAGGAAAGGCCACCTCAGAGTCCTTGACATTCAGAAGTGGCAAGGACCTTGGGTCAGCCACCTCATGTACCCATCAGCCCTTGGATAAGAGCATTTCCTTCCCCATATCCCCTAGGGTTGTCACCTAAAATTAACACCTCTAGTCTTGGGGAGCCCATCCTCTCTTAAGACAGCTCACTCCTAGAATTAACGAAAAGTATTTCCTCTCATTCAGCTAAAATCTGTCTTTCCGTGATCTCACCCTTCTGGTTCTGCTTCTACACCTTGAAGTCAAATAGAATAAATAGAATCCTCTTCCAAATGAAAGACCTCTGAATATTTCTTTTTTTTTCTCCCTAAATAACTGAATAAGCATATGCTCCTATGGATTTCTTAAGATAGTTGAGTCTAGATGACTTATGACATTTTTTTCCTGAGTCTTTTCAAATGATTAGCAACACTTCTGTGGACAGCTGTGTTTGAGAGGTAGCAATGGTTTCAATGAATACTCTGAAGCAAAGAGAAAATAAATCTGCAAAAAAAAAGAAAAAAAATGAAGTGAATGCATGTGATAACACTGTTTTAGGTGTCTATTCATGTTGATAGATTGATTTCTTTTTTGTTCTTATTTCCCTTTTTGGTTTTTTTAAATTTATTTTTTATTGAAGTATAGTTGATTTAGTGTTAGTAAATATCGTGTTAGTTTCAGGCGGACAACTCAGCGATTCAGTTATACAAAAATACCTCTGAGTATTTCAAGACAGCTGCCCCTTGAGATCCTGCCATAGAACACAATTTCTCTCTTCCAGTGTCTCTCTTGATAGACTGGGGGTAAAGGACTACCCCTTTCCTACTCTTGAGGTCTAGACCACCGGAAAGCATGAATGTTTTCTCTAACAGGGTGAAATCCCAATTCCTCCAGAACATGCTGCACTTAATCAAGGCGCACAGCATCTCTAGACCTCAGAATCCACCTAACTATAAAAAGGAAGGTGGTTCTGTGATGATCTCATGGTCTTATACAATACGAAAGTTTTATAACTGTGTGATATATGCAAACCCTATAAAATGAGTGTTAATATTTTCATATGTAGCAAAATGGGGAGCAGGCAGATTCGGTTCATCACACAGCACTTCTCAAGGCGCAATCATTTGCATACCACCGCCACAATTTTTACCATTTCTGGGTACCACCTGTACTATGATTACTTAACAGCTTTCTTTGAATCAACTTACTTATTCTACTTTAATAATTTACTTTAAAAGGAAACTTTATATCAGCATAAATGCAAAACCATTGTCTTTTGTCATAAAAACATATTTAAACATAGATATTTTACCAGTTATGTTTATTTTTAAATACATAGTATTTTAAAGAACATCATTTAAAAGGGCTGCACACCATCTAAAATCAGCTGAAGGACCCCACATAGTAGTCTGGGTAAAACTCTTTGGGGTGGACTGCACTAAAGGGAAGCTGTATTTCCCTTATATTCCCTGGAGTGTCAGGAACTTGGTCTTCTTAGAAACTATGCCTGGGTCAACAGCAGCTTATAACTCAAGAGCAAATTAGTGAAAGTCAATCCCATGATCACCTAATAATAATAAAAGCCAACATTTGTTGAGCACTTACTATATATGCCCATGCGGTTTTCATACTTTTGTATGAAAGTATGAAACTTTCTAACCCCTGAAGTCAATATGAGTCGATCATTTTACCAGTGAAATCTATAATTTACAATCTTGGGCTCAATCAACTCCTACAAATATTTTTTTCTTGGAGAACAAAACTAGCCTCAGGCTGTAGACCAAGGTAGTAAATGATATGGAAATTGAAGATTTGTCCTAAGGATTTCATCACTGTGGATCAATAATGCAAAAGACTCAAGACAAAAGAATATACTTCAAGATCAGTATTCTTATAATGGGAGATGTACGTGTAAAAATTATTCCCACTTGAATCCTCACCCCCTTTTCCTCCAGAACTCTCCATACCACCAAAATGAAAAAACACAGGCACAGATTTAAAACAAGTGAGTTACAAACTTTTCCACGATGCGAGTTATTGTACTGTATACAGAACTGCCCTCACATCTGATAGGGTGTGTTATGTTTGCATTTTACCCCTGTTGTGGTTTCCTGTCAATCTGTGAGCCTTGGGGAACCTTCTAGAAGACCTCCCTGGTTGACTGTCAGAATTTCAGCAAGTGCCAACCTCAGATGGCTGTTATGCAGAGTTCCTGACTCTTTGAGCTTTGCTTGCCTCTTCCAGTGTGGGTGCTTTGGATGGGTCTTCCTCCTCAAAAAGAAACACTCCACATTTCCTGGGATATTAGCTTTAAAATCAAATGTCAGTCACAGTCTAGGTGGACATTTCTGAAATTAATGGGGATT